GGATGGAGTGAATCAGGATAATGTAGCTTTTCTGAGAGCACCCGAGCAAAGGAGTGAATGGAGTACCATGATCGTCAATGTCTGTCGAAGATCTGGCACTTGATGATGATGATGTCCTTTCGTCTACTGTTTCTTTTCTTTCCGAAAAATGTTGTGTGCCATACATTCCTATTATTAAATCATCGGAAAGGTGATCAAATGTACTTAGCCCATAATTGGTCGCTTTTAATGCTGTTTTGAGAAAATCGAAGGTAAAGTTTTTGCCCCTTGTTCAGTTTCTTTAAAAGACAAGGAGAATTTGCTCTATAACCAACCAAATATATACACCAAGGAAACCAAACTTCTCCTATAGGTAGGGCAACGCCCACTTTCGGTGTTGATCAAGATTTCTGGAAACCCCCGAAATCTGGGTCAGCCGCTTGTCCTTAAAAGCATCACCAATTATGAATCTTTTTCAAATTGCAGTTTTACGACTGAGGTCTCGGATGATGATTGTGCTCCGGAAAAGTATAGTCAACATTCTAAATTCAATTTCTAAATCACGTTGAAAAAAGAACAAGAACCCATACATAAGAAAGCTACAATATAACTGTATAACAAAGTGAAATAGTTCTCTTTTTTCTCATAACTGCACAATTTTGCTTTCTGCACTTTGTCATAATTTTAGTTTTAGTAAATATTCTGCGGCACTTGCAACACAAAAGTTATTATAAATGCCAGAGCTCAGAAGTGTCACTATAGAGTAACCTACGAAGAAAAAAAAAAAAAAAAAAAAAGATGGAGGAAAGATAAGAATGATAAATGTTTGACAGGAAAGAAGGAGCAGACCACACCAGAGCATCCGCTAATCACCCACACAGTACATTTACACAGCTTGCCGATGATATGTATACGCGTATACATGTCAAGGGTAGAAAGGAAAAACAAGATATTTCAGTTTTTGGAGGATTTGAGTTGTAACATTGGTTGGATTGTGTTTTCCAGCCCATGTTAGTGTCCAGGGCTAGGACCTATGTACTACGGTAAAACAAGGACTGTCAAGCATTCTACTTTTGTTTCTCTCAAAATGACAGAAAGTGACATCCTTGGTTTTCCCTTGTGTTCTTCGCGCATTTTCCTATTATTCAAAGTGAACTAAAGGGAAGGAACTTTTACAGAAGGATTCGTAACATTGTTTATTAGTCCTTTGGTTTTCTCTATAAACGCGCACAAATACATGTATGCATGTAGAATCAATCAGGTGCGCATGCTACCAGAGGAGGGACAAACCCCTTCACCCCCCTCCTGAAAAAACCCCAAACAAAATCAATACAAAACAAAAAAACCACCCCTTCAAAAGAAAAAAAAGACACACAAAAACAAAACAAAACAAACAAAAAAACCACACCCCAAAAACCCCCAACAAAAACCCAACAACAACCCAACACAACAAATTAACTAAAACCTCAACAAAAAAACATCTCACAATCCAAAACAAAAAGTATGGTGCGGAATTCCCTCATGAAAAAAAAAAAATATGGTGTGGAAATCTCCCACATTTTTATTGGTTACAACTACAATATCATGAGTTAAAGATATCAGCGGGCTTAAGGAGACACTGCAGCAAACAGGACATGAGACATGACTAGTTCTCTTTCTAACAGCACCATGATAGCAAATGTTACATCAATGAACAGACAGATTTCTTTCATTATCGTCAGAGCTTCCTCATGTACAAAATTGCTCCATATATATACACACGTTACATCATTCCTTCCAGAACAATCCCTTTCACATCTGTAACATTCCTTCCAGAACAAATCCTTTCACATCTGTACCAAAATATTAATGAATAAAACACAATAACATTTTTTTAGATCTGTAATCTTTGTAAAAGTCAACAATGATATCCCTCTCAGTGTTCTGTTAGTAATACCAACAGAACAAATGCAAATGTTTCAATATTTTCTATAATATTTTCCGCTCTACCTACAAATGCTACTATAAGGTACTTGCACATGATAGCCTTGAAAGGCGGCAAAATATGAATTGTAGCATAGATTTGTGAATAAATGCACATCATTACTTAAAAATGTGAGGCTTGCTGACAAAATGAGTTACTTCTCGCAATCTACAAAATGGAGATATTGGCAAAAAATCGACACAAGGTCAAATTTGTAGAATAAAAAAAAAAATAATGCCTTACTATTCTTTAACTATAACAAGCCTGTTATTATTCCATACTAATAAATGATTAAAAAAAACTTCACCTATAAGAGTGATAGGTCTATTGTTCTTTTTTTATAAGTCTTGAATCCGAGAAGTAACTCATTTTGTCAGCACGCTTCACAAACATTATGCGAGGAGAAAAGTGATTGTCTTAGACAGGCAGACGTCTTACACAGTGTCATTGTGATAGAGGAAAAAACACAAGGGAGAAAGTGGGAAATGGTCGTTTGTACAGATGGTTGCCTTTCTGTAAAAGCAGGTACGACTGTAGCCTATATGGTCGCTTTTAAGCACAAGGGGGCTATCCCGAAAAATTATGCTGTTTTGAAAAAATCGAAGATAAAGTTTTTGGACCCTTGTTCAGTTTCTTTAAAAGACAAGGAGAGTTTTCTCTAAAACCAAACATATGCACACCAATGAAACCAAACTTCTCCTATAGGTAGGGCAATGCCCATTTTTGGTGTAGGTGAAGATTTCTAGAAATCCCCGAAATCTGGGCTAAGCTTAGCCCACTTGTCCTTTAATTAAAGCGACCATATAAACCTAAACTTTGATCATAGAATATTTTGAGGAAATATCCAAAAGCTTGGTTTTCCAAATCACATCTTGCCCAGACCCTTCTCCAGTTCTCTCATGACCCGAAGGCACTTTTCTTCCTGGAAGGGCAAGGCTGCACACTGTACTCCAACACTGAGGCCCTGGGCATTTCTTGAGCTCTGTCAAGAACAGAATAGTTTTGGTTCATTTTTATGATTGAAAGAAAAAAAAAGAATTTCATAATTACAACAGTAACTGTAATACAGAAACATTTTCCCGTCATATCCATCGACACAATTCAGAACGGATAGGAGGTGGGTTTCACATACAGACGTGCGCCACACACATACACACACATGCATATAGATAAACACACACACTCATACACATACAACAGCGCACACATACACACACACACACACACACACATACACACACACACACACACACACACACACATATACACACACACCTTGGATTAAATGGGTTTAGTTTAAGTTGACACCACGATACGTCCATTTTTTTGCATGCAAGCATCAGACAAACTGAACATGATACGACAAATGTGTGTTATTGAACAAGAATGTTACCTCCAGTAGCAGCTTCTCCATCTCAGTGTCAGGACTGAACACGTCGGGATCTGCAGCTCTGTCCAGATCCTCCTGGGTCACTTTGGTGACCGGAATCACGCCAGCTGGGTAGTTCAGGGAGTTAAAGAGTCGACAGTAGGTGGAGATTGCTGAAATGTCCAAACAAGAATGAATGAGACTTTTTGATATGGTGAGGTTTTACAAACGAAAGATTGGGAAGAAAGCAAGGCATTACCTCAGAGAGGCTTAACTCTTACATACAAGAGACAAGTATCTCAGAGAGGCTTTACTCTTACATACAAGAGACAAGAAGCATTACCTCAGAGTGGCTTTAACTCCTACATACATGAAACATGAGACATTATGTCAGAGTGGCTTTAACTCCTACATACATGAAACATGAGACATTATGTCAGAGTGGCTTTAACTCCTACATACATGAAACATGAGACATTATGTCAGAGTGGCTTTAACTCCTACATACATGAAACATGAGACATTATGTCAGAGTGGCTTTAACTCCTACATACATGAAACATGAGGCACTATGTCAGAGTGGCTTTAACTCCAACATACATGAAACATGAGACATTATCTCAGAGTAGCTTTAACTTCTACATACACGAAACACGAAGCATGATCTCTTTGAGGACGGGGGGAGACGGGAACACAGGGCAAATGACAGCGTCCAGTTTGTGATCCCTCCACAGCTGGGTAAAGGCCTCCTTCCACACCTGTGAACAAATAAAGTAAAAAAGTTTCAGTCTAAACCCAGTAACGTCTTTGAGATATTTCTTAACTTTGCAAAGGCTGAGTAAACATTTAAACTACGGTTGCATTTCGACAAGTATTTTCCTTTTGAAGTTCTAAAACAGGAGAAAGACTGAGTAACTTATTATGTTAATTGGATATGAAAAGCTTTTGAATGTTAGGTGGGTCAAATAGATATTAATAGAATATGATTAGCATAAACACCAGTGACAATAATAGAAGAAGTAGTAGCAACAATGAGTACTTGTTACAACCTTACAGAAACAGTAACTTACAGAACCAGCGAAACGCTCAAAATCCCAAAGCCTAATGAATAATTACAGTACAGACAAACAACGGGTCATATACATTGCGTGCATTACAATTGCAATAAAATTGGATTCATACGTACAATACTGTATTCATAAATGTATATATAACTTTTCAAAAGAAGTAGTATGATAAAATTCCAGACAAGTCTCCAAATGAACAGAGTTGTTTATCCTCTTCTTGGATTCCCTTGATTTTTCCTTAACAGAAATATTGGACTACTCACCTGTAAATCTATAAATAGTACTGTAATGTAACTTTACATGTGTAACAAGATCCAACTTGTACTTGTCAGTGATCCAAAAGTCTTAAAAAAAACAAACAACAAAAAACAACAACATCTTCATACCATATTCTATACACCAGGCATAGCCTACTTTATTTTCAAGACCTGTAGCTTATCAGTCTGTGAGTGGAATTGGAATATAGTCGAACCTGTTCAAGACAACAACCCATTAATACGGAAAAAAGTGTTCATCTTGGACAGTATTTATAATACATTTAAAAACAAATGGGGGGGGGGGGGGGGTAGTAAGAAGTGGTCAATTATACAAGTACAAGTGATTGTCTTGAACAGGTGGTCACTAGAGCAGGTTCAGCTGTCATTTCACCCGTCACGAGCACGCTAGGTTAGAATTTTTCGGGGATGGGTACTCACCATGTAATCTCCTACGTGATCGAAGTACTCGTCCATAGAGCTGTAAACACACACAAAGAGACCTTGTGAAATCTTCATAATATTCATTTTTACCAGGGTTCCATACTATCTACTTCTGTATAGTCTTCATAAAATAAATAGATACTTTTTTATCGGGAAGGGGGGAGGGGGAGAGATTTACAAACCCTCATTCTATGGTATGCCAACAAATGAATCTACTTAATTTGCTTTTGACTATCTTTGAACAAGTGCTGAACACTGATGCTTCAAAAGTGATAACAGCTTATATGTGACAAAAAAGTGTTTGTTTACAAGAAAGATCATAAGGTCATCGCAAGTCGACCTAGTAATTAATAATGAACGCAGCCGGTGTCAGTTGATGATAAAAAACAAACAAACAACAACATTGTTGGTCTTGAAAATCAAAACCAATAGTTTCTGGCCCAGCTGGAAGCAAGATATCTAATAATTTATCTCAGGAAATGCCTGCGAGTGACAATATTGTTTTATTATGTCAGTTTTAATTTCCCTTTTGACAGCTTTGGTATTTCAACTAGAGGTGGGCAAAATCCGGATAATCTATCCGAATAACCGGATACTTAGCAATAAAACATTGTCCGAATTCAGACTCTTATCTCACTTTCCTGACCTGCTTGCCGAAGTGGGCGTACTCATTTGTTGAAGTGATGCTAACCCGTTTGTCGAAGTGGTTCTAACCCATTTGCAGAAGCCGTTCTGTCATATTATTTGCCGAAGAGGAGCACTAACATATTATCCGGATTTCGCTAAAGCGTCTCAATTGCCCAGTTCTAATTTCAACCACTTTTCCCCCAGCTTTAGCGCACAAGATATTCAGAATCCCATAATTACTCCCACCAATGACTTGGAAATGTTTGTCTATGCCTGACATAACCATTGTACCCAAAGATGACAGTGTTACAAATAGGATCAGAAGCTTTTTTAGAAGGGATTCAAATCTTTTTTTTTTTCTTTTTTCTTTTTTTCATTTATATAGCGCATATCCATGCCCAAGAGCTTTCTCTATGCGCTTTACAACTATTATTACCCCAGCAGACCCTCTGAGAACATCCAGAATTATTCTCAGCTTCCGCAGAAGCATACAGTGCAAGCTGCGGATTTCACGCGCTGAAACACTATCAAACTGACAAGATCTTTTACTGTCTATAGCTGGGTACCCATTTCCACCTGGGTGAAGTGAGGAAACTTTGTGCAAAGTGCCTTTCCCAAGGACACAACGTCGGGTCCCTGACAGGATTCGAACCCACGACCTTACGGTTGCGAGTCCGAGAACCTAACCACTAGGCCACCAACGCCACCAGTACCAAAGTCAATTATTACATTTAATTTACTGAACTTGCCATGCGTACAGCAAAGACATAGATGTTATAAAAGAGTTGCTTTATCATTGACAGACGCAACAGGACGGAAATGTTCTAAAACCACATTTCAAAATTTTGCCTTTCCAGAATTTTGGTCTCTTGTTAACCCTTATCACCACAAGACGAGACACGCAGAGAAATGAAGAAGTACTTTACTTTACTTTACTTTTGCGATCCAGCGGCCATTTGGGTTCTAGCCCTTCGGTCTGTCGATATGGCAAAGAATTGACAGGTTTTAATCAGCTGTGCTTTGTCGCTGTATAGAGTGTTTCCGATGTCTGGGGAGGCAGGTAGGTAGGTGCTACGCAGGTCACAGAGTGCTGGGCAGTTAAAGAGGTGGTGTGGTACTATTTCATCTTGGCAGTCGCACAACGGGCAGTCGGGTGAGGTATCCTTGCGGATCCTATTAAGGTAGGAATTTAGTGGTATGTGTTGTGTTCGTTGGCGAAAGATCGTGACTTGTTCTCTTCTACTTAGGGAATTTATTGCATCTTTAGAGTTGGGGGCTGTCATGTGTGCAAATACAGTTCTTCCAGTTTTGCCCATTGCCCATCCATTCAGCCACTATTCCCTGGTGTTGCATTTGATGATGTTCTTAAATGAAGAAGTAAGAGCAGCTATCGGCACTGAGTCCTGCCAGCGTTACATACAAAGACAGAGGATAAAATGATTTGGCCTCCTGTTACGTATGTCACCTGGCCAGCCAGCCTCGAGAGCCTACAACACCAAGCACTCAGGCTATAAAGGAAGAGGAAGGCCACACAAACGGTGGATCGAGGGTGTCAAGGAAACCCCAAGAAAACATAACATTACAACTGAAAGAGCTGCGGAGCTGGCCTACCATAGAAAACTGCAGCTCCCCTCAACGCTTAACGGCAACAGAGGATGAAAAAGTAAAGTAAAGTAGGTCTCTTGGTTAGCTTTGTAAAGTACTTACTTGAACCCGATACAAGCTGAGAACATATCTGCTTTGTGTCTGTCCTGTAATAAAAAAAAAAGTAAAGCAAAGCATTCAAAAACTCTTTTTTAAAATACCCACATATGTGAGGCAGCGTGGTGGAATCAGGCTCTCGTCAAAATAATCAAAGTGAAGAAACTTGCATTTTTCCGCAGGTTGGGGAATTTTTATCAAATTTTTGTTTTTTGGCTCAACACCTTTCATGCCCATTAAAGAACTCATTTCTGTGTGGATTTGTTTTAAGAACGTCGATTAAGGCACAAACATTTCAATTTTCAGTTACCACAGACTTTTAAGCTATGGAAATAACTAATCTTTGGCGGCCATTTTCTCGCTAATTTTACCTCTGAAAACAGGTGACCCCCATCTCCTTCTTTCAAAGATATCTCGACTGGTGTTCAAGATAAATTGAAGTTGTTTTCTTCTAAATAAAGTAAAGTGAACAAGCTTTAAGATGATACCTAGTAGTTAGGCTCTCGGACTCGCAACCGTAAGGTCGTGGGTTCGAATCCCGTCAGGGGCCTGACGTTGTGTCCTTGGGAAAGGCACTTTACACGAATTTTCCTCACTTCATCCAGGTGGGAATGGGTACCCGGCTATAGACAGCGAAAGATATTGTCAGTTTGTTAGTGTTTGAGTGCTTAATCAGCTGCTTGCACTGTATGCTTCCCGGGAAGCTGAGAATGTTTCGGAGTGTTCTATGGTCTACTGGGCTAATAATATAGTGTAAAGCGCATAGAGCCTGCTGTTGAGCGGGGATATGCGCTATACAAATGCTATTTATTATTATTATTATTATTATTATTATTATTATTATTATTATTATTATTATTATTATTATTATTATTATTATTATTATTATACCAATAACTCTACATGCCCAAAATTTGACGAGAGCCTGATTCCACCACGTTGCCTCACATATTTTATACTTTCGCATTTTGAGTTTCTGGTACCAACTGGATAGCCCATATGATTTTGCAAATCTTAATTAAATAATAACAGATCACCTGAAGCTTCGAGTTGTGTTAATTACTCTCTTGTACCTGGGTTAATAATCATAGCAAAGACAAAACATTAAATTGGCCTAACCTTAGGAGTACCATGAAAACCTTAAAGAAACAAAAGTGAGACATATATACACGTGGGAAGTTCTCCTAAATTTGGAAATGTAATTTCGATCTTGTGCTGGGAGAAGAGAGAGGAGTTGTAGGATACGTTTAAAAAAATAATTTAGTAGAGGTTTTACAGTGCTCACCACTGCATAAGGTCATATGAGCGCCAGAAGATTAGAGGTGTTACAAGAGAATAACAAACATAAAAAAGAAGATAGATGTTTGATAGGAAAGAAGAAGCAAATCACACCAGAGCACCCGCCAATCACCCACGTAAGACACGTGACAAAGGCATGATGAACATTTATGAGACTCACAATCCTTTAACTTTGAGGAATAAATAAAATAGAATTCTTTTAGAGTTGGCTTTTCAGGTCTACCAAGTGCCCTGAGAAATTGATCAGAGCTTTCCAATTTCCTTTTGCCCACTTAAGAACCCCGATTGGAGTTGCATGAAATCCTTTTTTCTCTTGAATTGTTTCAATTAGGTCTAACGCCACCTAAATCTATTACAAACGAAAGGAAACAAAAGCATCTTTGCATGTACTTGCAATATTTAATTTACAACGGTCAGTTTGTTTCATTATCTTAATGTACTGGATTCTGGCAACATACAAGTTTTTCTCCCAAACTCATATGTTTTAGGAGTTGTTGGCAGGTCTGGCTTTTAAAGCATCATTAATTTTAAAAAATACTTAGTATAATATATTTGTTCATATAATTTCTATGGAACATTTTTTCTAAGAATTCACAGTAATTGATCATAAGTTAACTTTTCAAGAAAGAAATATGATGTAACTCTTGAAGAAAGAAATACAATAGCAAAACAACAACAACAACAACAACAACAACAACAA